GTGCAGGGTGTCAGCGGCTGCTGGGGTGGGGGCGGCGCCCGACCTCAGAGCTTCAACCTCCGGTTCTGTGTGTGCCGACAAGTCACTTCCACCTCCAAAGCCTCAGTCCCCAATCTCTAGACTGGGGACCAAGTACACAGTCAACCTACAGGGGCATGGCACTTGTATCCTGGCTCCTAGGCTGGCAATGTGGCGTGAGGGAGGGCGTGCACAGCCAGTGGGGCCCTTCCTGCATCCTGCAGAAAAATAATGGCCCCCCACTCCCAAAGCCAAGTCACCCGGAACTGGAACCGTGAGTACAGCTATAGAGCCTGCCGTGCTCATGTGGATGGCCTCCAGCACCCAGCCGCCGGCCAACAGTCCCCGCTGGGCACGGAGTCTAGCCAAGCCTAATTTGTTTTTCATCTTCATTTTATTTTACTGCCACAGATGATATGTGTACTTACAAGATAGAGAGAGAGCCCCCCAATGGGGCATGGTCAAGCTGCAAGCCTTTTCTCTCCATCTCTCCTCACCATCAGGATGTCAGGATTTGGGGCACACACACATGCCCAGTGTGTTTTTCAAGCTGCTGGGGCCAGGATTCAAACCATGGTCAGCCACGTGGGACCTAGATCCCTGTGCACAGGCTTAACTGCTGCACTCTGGAGCTGGAGACCTGTGCAGCATGTCAGCAGCTGCTGGGGTGGGGGCAGTGAGAGGAAAAGGAGCACAGCCCATGGCCCATGGCTGCAGGCTCCTACTCTCAGGCAGGCTTGGAGGGGACCTGTGTTCAAAGTCCAAATGAAAGGGGGCTCTGGGCCATGGACAACCACCGTCCCTTCTGCTGAGCCCTGACAATGTGCCGGCGTGGAGCTGGAAGCCTCCAGATAGATCGTCCACTTGAATCCTTACAAGCGTGGGAGGCAAGTCCCGGTACTGTCCCCAGTCACAGAGGAGGAAACTAAAGAGGAACAGAGACTAACAGACAGCTAGTGCCCTCCTGGCCGGGCCTGCTCCTAATGTGCGCTATGATCCTAAGAGACTTTGCCTCTCTGGACCTCAGTTTCCTTATCTATGAAATGGGGTCTCAACAGCCGCCCACTTTCTGGGATCACTGGGAGGATGAAGGAAGCAAACATTCACCCAGGTCAGCCCACCCTGGGCTGCAGCGAGCCCGGCTGTGGTGGCCGAGGACGAGCGTGTACACAGGGAGCCCGGCAGGCAGGCAGGCAGGCAGGCACAGGGTTTGAGCTCTGGGAGTCCCGGCCACAGAGGCTGAGATGCAGGGCCGAGACGACGGCCAGCATCCAGCAGGTCCCGCCGTTGGCCCAGGCGCCAGGGCAGTTGCCGGCGTCCCTGGGAGGATGAATGGGGCTCAGTGTGGTGATGGCTGAGCTCAGAGCCCGCTTTGTGCTGCCTAGAGTGGCCGTTGGGAGGGCGGCCGGGGACCTGCTGGCGGGTGGCTGTCCCACAGGCCCTCTGCCTGTGCTGGAGGCCAGCCCAGCCGGCCGCATGCTGCAGCCTCTCACAGGCATGCTTTCCTGCCTCCAGGCCTCCGGACCCACGCCCCAGTGCCACTCTTCCCTCCCCTGGCTCAGTCCCTTGCCTCCTTCCGGCCCCTGCAGGGCCAGCCTGAGCTACAGTGCTCTGGGGACTCTGCCCTGATCATGTCCCCTTGTCCTCCCCGTGGCTCAGGCAGGGATAGCAGGACGGTGCCTACTGAGGGAAAGATTTTTAACTGAGCAGGTAAGTCAGAGGCAGGAGGTCTCAGCCATCCCAGCCCACGCACAGGGGCCAGGCCAACCCGAGTTCTGTCCCCACACACACGACCAGGGCCAGTCATGTCACTGTCTGAGCCTTGTTTTCCCCGTCAGTGGAATGGGGCAAACACAGCAGCCCTCACGTGGTCTCGGGCAGTTTAACGGTGCTGTCACCTGCATTTCATTCCCGTGCGTCTTTCTCTGCATGCTCCAGACCTCGAGCTTCCCGAGAGGACGGCCTCTCCATCCACCCTGGCCCCTGCTCGATGGGGGTAGGCCGCAGGTACTCCAGAGCTGCTTTTCCCTGGGTTGTCCTAGACGCCTGGCTATTGGGGGCACTGTAGGATGCTAGCGAGTGACCCTGGGCTTTGAGGATAAAGAGGCCTGGTTCTGCATTCCACTCCACAGCTTCCTGGCTGTGTGGCTTTGGGGAGGCCTTTTCACCACTCTGAGCCTCCGTTTCTTCATCTGTAACTTGGGCCCCATGGCAACCTCCTAAGAGGAGTGCTGTGAAGATTCTGGGAGATGACACATGCCAACGTGCCAGGCAGAGTTGGGGCCCGGCTGACATGAGCGGGACTCCTGTAGTCTGACAGGGCACCACGCAGCAGCTCCCCTGACAAGCAAATCCTCATCTCTCTGGACCTACCAGCAGCCGAGAGCAGCCCACCCCATGAGCCTGCGTGCCATTCCACGTACCTCCAGTCCCATCCCCGCTTGGGGAAGAACATGGAAGTCCAGGTCAGAGCCGAACGGCTGCCCAGTGCTTCAGTGTCCCTAACTGTTAAGTGACAGCAGGGCCTGATCAGTTAGTCGGTCAGCAGACGTTGACTAAAGACCGGCCACCCACCTGGCCTAGCCAGTGGAGCCAAGCTATGGAAAGTGGGGCAGGTCCTCTGGAACCACAGAGTCAAAGCAGTCAGTGAGGCTTCACTGGCTGTTCCTCGCTGCTGCCACCTGTGTCTGCCGGCCTTGGTGACCTGGCTCCTGCCTCTCTTCCTTGCCTGCCCACCCCAGGGTCGGCTGAGTGCCAGAGGCCCCAAGGGGAAGTGACTGGCAGATGTGAGGGTTGAGGTGACAGTGGGGTGGTGACACCACCGGAACCTCTGCTGAGGCCTCTGTCCACAGGATGTGACTTGGGGAGGACTCGTGGGAAATGAGGGCTGTGACTGGGCCTGGGAGTGGAAGCCACACAGCCTGTGGCCCAACGCCCAAAGCTGCTGTCCCTACCATAGTTCACACCATCTCCAGGCCGGGGCTCTGTCCTAGCCTCGCCCCTAGCCCAGGTGGGCAGGGCCCTGACATGGGAAAGTGTTGAAGGTTTGTGCTAGACCAACTTGTGGCCACTGGTCAGGTGATGTCACCTTGGTATGTGTGTCCAAGGAGGGTACACCTCTTTTTTGTTTTGAAGAGGTTTTTACTATAGGGTGCATGCGCTCGCCAGACAGAGAGAGACAGAGAGACAGAAAGCGAGAAATCACCCCCCAGGGGGGATGGCCACGCCACAATCCCTTCTCCTCCATTCTCTTCTTGGGATCTTGGGCACGCAAGCACATGCACCTGGCG